AATACTAACCATGCTTCAAACAAAATTATTTTCAATAAAAGGGTACTGATGATTAATAAAAAATAAAGTCTTTTAAGTAGTCATCCAATGATCAAACCCATTAGCTTTGCAAAGTTTGGCATCCAAATTTGACTAGAAGGTTGTTTAGTGTGGGATATCTCTTTGTGATTTCTTCTTCCATTTGCACATGGAGCACGAAAGGATGAATTAAATTCTTGACAGAAATTTGTCGGACCAACAATGGTTAAGCCCAAAGAGAGCCATTCAATAATAATAAGGTCCCAAGAAATTTTGTAATGTCAATAAAGTTCCAAGAGTTGGGAGGTGGGGGAAAAATGAAATGATTTAATTAGGGGAACCCCATAGAACGCTCGTCCAAGGAACTTAAATACTGTGTAGGCCCATTAGATTTTGATATTCCTTTGTAGCCACAGGCCCAAACGCCTCAAGCTGAAATGATTGAACTATTCCTTAATGGGTGATAATATAAGTGCTCAAAAGACATTAATAACAAAAGATACGTGACTAAAAAAATTAATTATTCATGACAGGAAGTCCATTTATTTACAAGAGTTCATGTGGGTTTACACTTGAAAAAATTTACAAGTTAACCAGACAAAATTAACAATAAAAAGTCCATAAATAACAAGAAAAATCCAATTATTTACAATAAGAAGTATGTTTATTCACAAGAGTCCAATGTGTTTACACTTTGCACTTGAACAAAATTTACAATTTAACCAAATAAAATTAACAACAGAAGGCCCATAAGTAACAAGAAAAATCTAATTATTTACAAGTTCATTTATTTACAATTACAAGAGTTGATATGAGTTTCCACTTGAGAAAATTTATAAATTAACTGAAGAAAATTAATTAACAGCAGAAGGTTCATAAAATAATAGTAAAAAACATTCAATTATTTACAACAAGAAGTACATCTATTCATAAGAGTTCATGTGAATTTACACTTGTACTTAAGAAAGAGAAAAATTTATAAGTTAATTGAAAAAATAAATAAAAATAGAAGGTCTCTGTAAATAACTAAAATAGTTAAATTATTTACAACAAAAAAGTCTATCTGTTTACACGAGTTCTTGTCAGTTTACACGAGGCCTTTTCCCTCATTAAAGGAAATTGGGTCATTTCAACCGGGAAAATAGCTGCACTTGACGTATCTGGGCCTGAAAAGAAATATCAAAATGTGCTGTTCATGCAGAGTAACTATATCCCTTCTACGTGATTCTTCCATTTAAATACGTTGGCGTTGTAGCTAAAAAAAGTACCCTTCTACAATTTGAAAGTAGTATACTCTCATATGAAATTTCATGTAGTAAAAAATTGCATTTATAGTTTGAAAACAGAATTTTAACTTGACAAATAATGAAGTATTCTTAAGTCTAAATTTAATCCAAAATTTTAAAATACTTCAGGGCTTGAAATACATATGAGATTAAATGGGTCACCGAGCTGAAGTCTAAAGCCTTTTTAGGTTTAAATGGGTCAGGCTCATAAGTCTTTTTATACAAAATTTCCTCAATATACAAAATTTCCTCAATTTCTTAAAAGCTGGGTCTGAAAAAAACAGGTATGAATGGGTAGCTCGATACACTTGGTCTATCTTCTTGGCTCTGCCATTTCACTTGGCTCATTTGATAATAAATTTTATAACAGAATATACTGTTTAATTTTTTTTAATACATGTGGTTTAAATTTTTTAAGTAATTTTACTTCTTTCTTTTGCATTTTATTTACTCTTCTAGTCTTACTTATAGAATAAAGAGAATATTTATTTTAATCTTATTTATAAGGAACGTTTATGATTTTTTGTACATCTTTACCCTTTTACTCCTATTAAATTCTAAGAAGTTTATTTAATGTTGGAGTTTTTTTTTGGAGTGTGCATATTTTATAAGGGTAAAGTTTGAAATTTATTAATAAATTATTAGATACAATTAATGAGGTTAAAGGTTTTCTTTTATTATAGTGAAATATGTTGAAAGTTATTTATAACAAGGATGAGAGGGAATATATTAAAAAATTTTTAAACCTTCTGTTTTGTTTTATTGAAAACTCAATAAAATCTTCTTTCTTCTCTACTTTTTATATTATAAATAAGAGTTAATATTCCGTGCATTGTAGGTATAAAATTTTTTACTATAATTTTTCAATTTACAAATATATATGTATATAATAAACACAAAATAAAACTTCTCACTGCCAAAAAAAAAATCCAATTGCACTTAGTCTTCGGTTTTTCTTGCCTTCTCTCTCTTTTTCCTTTGCTTTCCTTTTGGGTTTTGTGCTAATTCTGTTTTTTTTTTTTTTCACGTTTTCTCTAACATGTTTCTTTCTGGTTGTGCTAAATCTCATCTTGATTTCTGTTGTCACCACTTTTTTTTTTTAATTTCTTGACCATCAATTTATGCTAAATCTCATCTTTGAAGTTGGATCGTTAGGCTTATTTCAAATTACTATCTCTATGTGTTAGGACCTCTTCCCTGGCTTTAATCCAGGTACTTAGTGGTAGTGCTAGGACCCTATGCTATTGGGTGCAATATTTGTAAAATTAATAATTAAAAAATTAAAAAAATTTAAACTCAAAAATTTTAAAGTTTAGTCAAAATATGTAAAATATTCGAGTCAAAAGGTGCAAAATATTGAAATTAACAAATAAAACTTTCTTGTAATTTTCTCCAATCCTAAAGAGTGCATTTGCCCGCCTTGGCTTCAATATAGCGCCGCCCATGCAGGTACTAGTCATTGGATATCTAATTATAATGGTTTCTTTAGAGTATGAAACTTGAACTCTGTTGCTTTACCATGTGGGAAAGTGCCTCCTAGTCCTTGGGCTTCTCCTTGAAAAGAATCACGCCCCTTGAGACGCCATTTTTTCTCAATTGAGCCAAGCTCCACGTGTACTCTATCATATTGTACTATTGTTTTGAGAAGAAAATTATAAATTGATCCCCAAAAAATTTAATTTCGACCATATATATATACACATTGATCAAGCAAGAGAGCATTAAAAAAAGAATAAAAGGGAAAAGTGGGGAGCAAGAAACGTATCAAAATCAGATGGTGGGGCACTAAAAATGGTAATCCTATGAAATGGCGCAAAACTACAAATTGCAAACTTTTAATCTTCTTTTTGCATTAATGTACAAGAAACTTTTTTTTTTTTCTCTTTGCCTGAAAACGATCCAGGAAGGCATCAGTATTGGGGATTTTATTTATTGTATGATGTAATATTTTTTTCATTTGCATCATTTTTTATAGGCAGTAATAAAGTCAACAAATATGAAAGCATCAACTTATTATCATATTCTCTATTCTATATATGTCTGTCTCCTCACTGAAACATGACGAAAACAAGGAGAAAATATGGCATGGTTGAATGATCTTCAGTCCTCCGCTTCAAGTAATTTAATATATCTATACACATCAATTTATAGTTTTTTAAAAACAAGCGTAAATGATATTAGAGGCTTGAAGGGGTCAAAGAAGCTAGTCGTAGGAAGAAAAAAAGGTGGGGCCGGGTGGGGATCGCGCATATATAAGTTCTAGAAGATCAATTTAATGACTGTGAAGTGCTAATAAACTTGGCAAAATGACAATTAAAACATAAAAGATTGAATTAATAATAGTTAAATTTTAAAATTGAGTGAAAAATATTGATTCAAACAATTATGAATTCAAGAATTTCAATTCTATATAGGGAATTTAAATTTCAAATATAATTCTCATATGTTAATTGAAACAGAAAAATATAGTAACCTTGCTTTTGTTATGTTTAAATTATAGAAATCTTGTCTCTATTTCTAAACCCACACTTTAATCCAATTGTTAATACCATTAGAAATATTCCATTAACGATTCTAAAATACTTGATTTTTTATTTGTAATTATGTTGAAAATTTTAAAATTATTATTTTACCCTCATAATTTAATTGTACACACTCTCCCCCCAACTTTAAAAATTAAAATAATTACATCGGTATTTAAATAAATAATTTTAAATTTTGTATTAAATTAATAGAATTTAAAAATATAAATTATATTAAGTAATTTCTTATATTAAATCCTATTATTTCATCAATTTTTTTAACTGCATCTTGAAAATATTATTTTTTCCAATTTATGTATTAAAAATTTAGAAAATGTTATTGAAATTAATGTTTATAACTGTTTGAATCTATATCTATAATTCATTTTATTAGAAAATGTTATCTAAAACCTAATTATCATTAATTCAATCTTTTGAGACCTAACTATTATTTTTTCAATATAAAGTTTGCTTAGTTGCATATATTCATTTAAACACAGGAAAATGATAGAGAGGTTCCAAAAAGACCAATTAATTTAAGCTACATTTCAAATATCAAATTTTAAAAATCTGTTGCTCAATCTTTCAATTTTGCAACTCAGTTGTGATGAATTTATAATTTATATTCTAAATTTTAACAAGAAAAATAAAATTTTTTATTCTTCAACCATGTTAAAATTTAAAAAATAAGTTACAAATTCCTTTAAATACTTGCAAATATAGGAATATTAGTAAGAAATTTTTATATAGACTTGGTACACCATGCCATCCATGGTTTATCTAATAAAAATAAGCCATGTATGGTTGTAATGGTTCTAAATATAAATTGATTTTATCATTGATGATGATAGATAGAGAAAAACAATACATTAAAGAAAAACTGACATATTTTTATTGAACAAAGCATGAACAATATGGTGCACCGTGCACCTGATCCATGCAATAATTTCTCAATCTTAGTTGCAAATCACTAGTAATGATGTAATTAAGAGACTTAAATACCTGACTTGCAAATATCATCATATATAATTTATAATTAAATATTTGAATCAAAATTTACACAATTTTATTTTCAGTAAAATCTTTGAGGACCTAATTATAAAATATTCAAGTGATTTTTTTTGGAATCAATACATCATGCACCATAAAAAAAATCAAAAGAGATTCATCCAAATACACAATAATCAAGGTCGAGATTTATTTATTTATTTCACAGCAAGAGAAGTGCATACATTGATAGACTAGATATACACGATGAGAACGTTGTCGTATCATTACATAGTTCCTTAATTATTTGGAGGTAGGAATATAAGGAAACAAGACGCGACGACTAATAACTTAATCAAGGGCAAAAGACAACCCTATAATTGGTTCCTGATTGGCAACTATGAGTTTTAGTATTGTCATCAGGGAAGAGATAAGCATCGGGACACTTATCGGCGGGACACCGGAGGGAAGTACATCCACTATTGGTTGGACTGAACTCCATCGGAATATTGAAACCGTCGATCACAGAGATATCGTAGAAGTCTAAGTTATTGGGTTGGTTAAGAGAAAATTCTGCAAGCGTCGTTGGTGGTGCCCCGGAGAGCTGGCATTGAAGGACACCGGCACAGTCACCGGTTCCGCAACTTCCACGACCCGACCCGTCGAAGTTACAGTTAGTTCGGCCCCATATACGACCGCTAGTAGTGCCGGCGGGCACGTTGAGGGACCATGTCTGGCCGGGACTCAACTGCTGGCCGCCACCCGTGGGCAAGGCGGCCGGCCACACCGTGTAGGAGCATCGGTTTGTGATGTCAAACGTGGCGGCCTGTGTGAAAGCAAAGCTAAGAGCTAGGAAGCAGAAGAGAGAGAGACTTTTGAGGAGCGTCATTTTTGGAGCTCTAAGAGATTATTTGGTGATTGCTCTGTGAAGAAGAGGAACTACAACAATGGGTATATATGGGGTTCAGCAAGCTGCGGTGTTAAGTTTTTGAAATGTAAACGATGAAACCATGACGTGTGTGCGTATAATAACATATATAAGCGAGTTGAATATATATAATAAGCCCGCTAGAGGATCTTCATTATGCCAGTCAAGTTACGGGTCAACATATAATAAAGTACTCCCTCCTTGTAAAAAATTACACTAATAAAATTCATTAAATATACTCTATAATTATATTTTTTAAACAAAAATATAATCTTTTAAAAGTATCATTCATTTAATAAATTATTTGTGAAAGAATATTAAAGAGAAAGAATATAATGGAACAGGTAATATTAAAAATAAATTATGAATAAAATTTTATTTTTATTAAAGTGTTATATATTTTGGGATGTAAAAATTTTCTTAGAAGAGTCTTATAAACGAAGACCGAAGTAGTTTATATAAGGGGATAAGTTTTCAAATTGACTAAATGCGGATGACTTGGAAAAATATGGTTCATACGCTTGGCTGGTATTTGAATAATTCACACTTTGTTAACCAAATATTTTTTTATTTTGGAAAAGTTAAATAAATAATTATTATTTTTAAAAAAGACGTGTACATGTTGATATGCTAGAATTTTTTAAGCAATAGAATTTTTTTGCTGGTACGTTAATTTAATTGAATATTTTTTTGATCCATGATGCGTGTATCCGTATGTGTGCTTAAAGCAGTCAACGAACAAACAGACGCACATGAACAAACAGACGTTAATATTTTTCATATGCTATTATATAATTAGAGATTAGAGATTCTATAAATAAACTTATGCCTTATGCTTTGTCTTTTTTTTTTGGCCAAAATATTTTTTTTTTGTCATTTTTAATGTAATGACATAGCATTTATTATTATCGGCAATCCCATTATGTACTAAAGCATTGGGAGAACCTCTTTTATATTGTATTTTGGCTAACCACTAAAGCATACATTTACTTTTTTTTAACTTTATATAATATTTTATTTTGGTCTTTTAATTGTATAAACTATTTTCCAGTCCCTTAATCCTGATAACATTAGTTTCATCATAAAAAGTTTATATATTGAATTTTTGAAAAAATTCATTAATTCATGATTATAAAACTAACATTTAAATTAGAAAAAATTCAATGGCATAGAAAATATTAAATACTCCATCTAGTCCATATTATTAGGCAGTTTCAACTATTTTACTAGAATTATGAAATGGCAATTAACTCAATAAATATGTCTTAGAAATGAAAAAAAATCCAACATTATCTGTATAAAAGATAGGAAGAGATACAAGGTATATGATAAGGTATAAAATTAAATTTACAATAAGGATAAAATTTAGAAACTTATAATAAATAACCATTCATGTAGTTTATTATTATATTAAAGACAAAAAAAATATTTTTAAAATATGCCTATAATAGCCCCGGAGAGGACATAAATTAGTTTTTTTCGAAGCCAAATTTCTTTTTTTTTTCGTAACTCCCATTCTTCAAAGCATAGCCGCACCAAAATAACGGATTTGAATTTGGTGAATTGCTTAATTATACTCATTCAGTGTGTGTCTAAATTACAGCAGTTAAATTTCATTAATACTTAAAAATTATTAAGATACATTTCTCTTCAAAAGTTTAAAATATTTTTTCCTCATGATAAGAATACTCATTATGTATGCTATTCTTTTCAAAAATTTGAAACTTGGTACTTTTTGAGTATTATATGATAAAATTTCTTATAATCATTTGATTAAATTAAATGATTATTATTGTGCCAAGTGAGACATCTATTAAATGAGTCTACTTAGGCCATTCACCAAATCCAAATATGCAAATAACATGGAAATTCTAGAATATCAAATTAATAGCATATAATGATATTAAATTATTTTTTTTTCAATGTCATCCCGCCAATCGCCAGACCAGCCGCCTAATACGCCTTTGATGTTAATTATCAATTAATACAATTTAATATTTACAATATAATATGTAAAACAAGAGAAATGGTCTCCTCAGCTTCAATCTTATACTCAAAGCCAAAAGCCTTTTGTTCATACTCCTTCGTCTTCTTCCTTCCAGTCCTTCTTCCGTGCTGTCATGGACTAAAGATACTAAGATACAGTTCATACATATCTGATAAATTTATAACAAATCTAGTGATTTTTTCACTGAAGAAACACGTTTAGCCACAAAATAATATCTACTAAAAAAAAACACTTTTCACACCCCCTTTTTACATCAGTCAGAAAGGAACTGGTGTAAAAAGTATGAAGGGTTCACGGTTGCATGCATTTTCGTAAATACAAAGATTTAATAGAACACTGTCTGCACTGATTCCGCATATAACCAGTATAAAAAGTAATTTCTATCCTGTTTCCGCATACAACTGGTGTAGAAATTATCTGAATATTCTTTTTTCAAAAAAAAGGTTAGTTTTCATACTGGGTAGATCTCATCCAGTCTAGAAAGTGTCTGCAATTTTTTTTCCAAAAAATAAAAGAAGGTTTAGTTTGTACACTTGGTAAACCTTACCTAGTGCAGAAAGTGTCTAACTTTTTGTTAAAAAAAAAAAAAGTAGTTTCTACGGTGGAGCTCACCTGGTAATAAGAAATTAATGTCTAACACGAGCCAAGAAGATTTGTTTGACAATGATAAGTCCAGTGGATGTGATCCCTTTAACCATCCTGCTCGATTGGTGGAGATTTTAAGCCGGGTAAGAATTGTATTTCTGTTTCCTGGTGTTTTTTATCTGAAAGATGCTTCTAGTATTGGCGACCTGAGTGATAAGGCATCTGTAAATTTCATTGTTAGCCTAAATTCTGGAAACTGCACAAACAACGTGTCTGTATTCCTTTTTGGTTCGAGTTTACATCGAACCAACAACTTGTTCGTTTTATAGTTAAAATAATCATTATACTGTTTGAATAATTTTTTTCTATTCCATCAATTTATCTTGGGCTGGCTGTTCATTTTCCTATGTTAGGTTGTAATCCATGAAATTTTGTGAACAAGGTGGCGTCTGAATGATTAGCGATTTGACTTGCAATAGCGGATAGGATATAAAAAGCCTCAAATTCAATCCCAGCAGCCGCAAGAAAGTGGGCTCTTCCCTTTATTTCAATATTCAAAAAGAGTGAGGAAACTTATCTGTGATGGGACTGCAAATATGTATGATGACAGCATAAATGCTATTGCTTTGTCTCGTTTTTCTCATGCCATTTTTATATGGGAGAATTTCACTTAGGGTTCCCAAAACACAAAAATTTATATTTAGACCCTAATAGAATCTAAAAACACACTACAAGCCTAAGGACTCTTCTTGTAAATTTTGTTGTAGATGAAAAGATGCATTTGCCCTTATCTTAATAGAATGTCCATGTATGTATAACATGATGGTCACAAATTCTTAACACAATGTACAAGCAATTAGAGGATGAACAATGCAATATCCATGAATGCACAACAATATCCATTAATTCTCAACATATTGAACATATGTAGACTTGTAATATTTGTACAACATAAAGTCTATCATGAATAAAATACTTGCATTAAAATAACATACTTCAAGTTAATATACACTAGATATATTGTGCTTCATAAATATTGTATTAAGAATTCATAAATATTGTGTTGCGTATGCATACACATTCTATTGAGACAGTTTTTTCATTTACAACAAAATTTGCAAGAAGGGTCCATGGTCTTACAATATATTTCAAATTTTATTGGGCCCTAACTACAAATTTTTGCATTTTCGGGGTCCTAAGTGAGACTCTCCTTCTTTATATCTTTGGCTATGAAGTTTAACTAGTGCACGTAATGGTTATGGGTTATTATAAAAAAACAGAACGGCACTTTGCTTTGCTTGATCATTCTAAACTGAGATTGTTCTTGTCATACATAATTAGTCCTCGTCACAGCGTTCTTGCTGTTGAAAGTTGAAATTATATGGACAAGTAATGTCAAGCTATATAATTGGACATTAAATTATTATACTGAAGCTTCTGCATGATCAACTTTTGAAGATTGGGCTTCCAATTTTTCAAATGACTCATTTCATCAACTGCATATGCTAGGAAATGCAAGCGAATAAAGGAAATGGTCATTTCCTTTCCGTGTGGAAAATTTTGAAGAGTGGGTTCATTGTATATTCTAGTCTATGAAGCTGAGGCATCTCTCATCTATGTTCATGAATATAGAATTTCTGATTCTTGCTACAGAAAGCAAGCAAATGCAATTGGTACTTAATGATTGTAGGCCTGATATGGTATCGTGTGTTCAAATGGCTGAGACTGTTGCACAATTCAGATATGGCATGACACCTCATTAATCCAACAAGTGTCTGCATTTTCGGTAAGTATTGTATTTACTTATGGTATTGCATTTGCTTGATGGAACAGTTTTGTGGTTCTGTGGTTAATGGTGATGTAGAATTGTAAAATTATGTGTCCAAAATGAGTAACACTAAAAATAACTGGTGTTTAGAGCTGGTATGGGTTGGTCTATATAAGTTAAGGAAAATATGAGTTAGGTTGGATTCAATCTATTTTTATATGGGTTGAAAAAAATTTCAATCTAAACTTGGAGGGTTAGTAGGTTCAATGGACAAACCTACCAACTCTTTTTACTTTATTTTTAATTTATTTTTTCCTTCATGTGGATATTTCTTTATGTCATGATTATTTTTGATAGACCAAAATGTTAAATATATTTGTATAAAATATAAAAATTGAGCCAGCTAAACCATGTAGATCTATTTATCAAAAGTCATGAATTAACAATATTCTCCATTTTTTCTTTATTTTCTATATTTTTTTAAAAAATAATATGGGTTCAACGGGCCAACCCTAACCCATTATAATTAGCCCATATGATTCACAAGTTATTTGGTCCAAATCAGGAAAAAACTCATTTTTTATTTAAATCAATTTTTTTCCAACTCAGCTCATATAATAGGTTATTGCGCCAGCCTATATA